ACAATCGTCATCCACAGAAAGAGAATTTCAATTTCTTCACCACACAACCATCATCCTCTTGTCTTCGTCATCGCTTTGATAAAAAATAAAGGGATGTATTTATTAAATTAGAAAGACTATTCCTGCTCAAGTCCCAAGCTGTAGAAAATTTGGCAGTCTTGGGCTTGATCATATATCCTCTTTTGTTTCTTAATTGGGAGCAACTATTCCACGTGCTGTTTTTATAGCAGCTTCCAACATATGAGGCAAAAGCACAATATATATCAGTGCTCCATTCAGTCAAGAGTTTGTTGAATTGAAAGTTTGGGTTGTTATGGATTACTCCATTCCAATCCATGTTGATCGTGAGTGGAGAGTGGTCAGGTGGGAGTTTGACTTCAGCAGTGTTGTGTTTGGCGGATGATTCGTTCCATTTCTTGTACAAGAGGGAGAGTTCAGATTTGCACATTATGCATTCGGAGAAGACATGTTCCCAAGTTGCTTTTTTGTTACATACATGGCAGGAAGGGTACTTCTTGTTGAGTTTGTTGCCTCTGGGAGCTAATATTTGAGTGTGGTGTAGCTGAGCGAATAGCATTCGTTGATGGAAGTGGTTGAGTTTGTGGTTGTTCCAAAAGGAAGTAGTAATAGGATGCCATGAGTTGGCAAGATCTAGTTTTCCCATACTGGATGGCTTGATGGATTCTTTGGATCTATAATGAAATAGAAGCTCTGTTCTGGGGCATACTACATTGCCATATTGATTAACGAATTGGTAGGTATTATCTATTGTTTGGAGTGACCAATTAAGGGAGGATACGGTTTCTTTTACAGTATTCCAGAAAGGATCGTTAAGTTGGTGATTCCATGCTGCTAACGCAATATTGCTTGTGATGGTGGATGTAGAGTTGAACATTCTTAAAGCGGTGCACACTGGTTCAATCGTGTAGAGATAAGAGGGCATGGTGAGTCCTAATCCACCTTCAGCTTTGGAGCCGTAAATGACTGTTTTAGAGGTCATGTTGTCTAGGCCAACTGAGGTTCTAAGGTGTTCTGCGACTAGGACGTCCAGGCGTTGAAGGTCTTTCAGGTTGGCACCACCAAATCCACAAGAGTATCTTGGAAGTGACACTATTTTGGACATTGTGGTTGTGGTAATGGTGTTCAGTTTGAGGTTTTTAGATTTCTTATTCGCCAAGCGTTCTTCAGCTTTAGGGAGGAGTTCATCTGATGTCCATGTTGGGAGGCCCTTTTCAAGTTTACAAGTTCCTCCTAAGTAATCGACAGATTCTTCAGAGACAAATTTAACATCCTTAAACTCTAGTTTGCAGGGTGAAAGAGTGGCATGTTTGGTGACAGCAAATAGTGAACATTTGAGGAGTGCAAGGGCTAACCCTAGATGTTCAAGTTCCTTGTTAAGGAGTTTAAGAGCACTCAGCATCTCTTTTTTAGAGTTGGCTACTAACAATATGTCATCAGCATAAAGTAGCAGCTTGAGTTTGATGTTAAATACATCAATACCATTATGCTCAGAGCAAATGTTGGTGCAGGAATTGATGTACACATTGAAAAGTGCAGGACTAATGGGGTCACCTTGTGGTACACCAACTTTTGATTGGAATGGGCTTGAGCAGTGTCCATTAATGAGCACCTTAATAACACCATTGGATAACATGTTTGCAATGAGGTTGGTGAAGGTTTCGTGAAACCCTAACTTCTTCAATATATTCACGAGTCTACCATGAATTACTGATCCGTAGGCGTTTTTGATATCGAGTGCCATGGTGAAAATTGGTTGCTTATGTTGTATCTTAAATGCCAGAGCAGTTCTAAGGGTGATGAGGTGATCAATGGTACCACCTTTCTTCATAAATCCACGTTGTGAAGGGTGGATAATATTGGCCTGTTCTAGGATACTCATGAACTGTTGGTTAATAATTGTTGAGAACAGTCTGTATAGGACTGATAGAACTACAATAGGCCTGAAGTCACTAAGGGAGGTTGGCTGGTTGATTTTGGGAAGGGGTAATAGTATACCAACTCCCAGTTCTTTGGGGACACTTTGAGAGTGTATGGTGTCATTTATGGCATTGGCTAGGACTTGCAGGGAACTTTTGTCTAGTGTGTTCTTATCGAAGTTTACTGAGATAAAGTAGTGTTTCTTGAAAACAACAATTGAATAAACTAATAATAGAAAGTATGCTCAAAAAAATTGTCATACTATGGTCGCTAAGAAGCCTCAAGATATTGACTCCTCTTCATCTGATGAAGATCTCCCAGCAGTTGAAGTAGAATACCCCACAAC